AAAAGACATTAGTGGGGAAGCTGGGAAGATTCCAATAAAGTCTTATTTATGTTTAGTAACATACAATTAATTATTTATTTTATATCTGTGTGTTTGTGTGTGTGCCATGTGTGCTGGAGCCCACAGAGGTAAGAAGAGGGAGGACCTTGGATCTTCAGAAACTGCAGTCTTACTCAGCTGTGAGCCTCTGTGGGGATGCTAGGAACTGAACCCAGGTCCTTTACAAGAGCAGTAAGTACTCTTAACTGCTGAGCCATCTATCCAGACCCAAGTTGACCCAGTATTTTTGTTTTGTTTTATTCTGAGATATGATCTCACACTGTAGCCAAGGCTAGCCTCAAACTCACTGTAATCCTCCTGCCTCACTTTGCTGAATGCTGAGATTATAGCTGTGAGTCCCATGCCTAACTAGCATGTTCGATTCAGTTCAGTTAACTAATTTAAATTCATTTAAAAAATCACGAGTTCAAGGCTATCCTTAGCTATGTAGTGAATTAAAGAACAGCTTGGGTTCTATGAGACCCTGTCTCAAAAGAAACGGAAACAATCCCAGAAACAAAAGTAAACAAACTCAAATGAAAACAACTGACTATTTAATTAAATAGCTTTAAATCATTTAGTTAAATGAATATACTTCGTTTGTGAAATTAGTCCTGTATGCTGTTCCAGCTTCCTGGTCCTGTTCAGTGAGCTGTGGTTGAGGGAGATGGGGACATCCAGGAGGCAGAGGAGGAACATAGGAGTATACCAGTGCACTGGAACATGCTCTGTCAGGCAGCACCCTCTGTGTTTGTTGTGTGGGACCTGAGACTCTGTGCTGGAACATCCCTTGCAGCAGTATTTTGGAGGAGGTGTGGTAGGGGAGAGCCCTTCCTTTCCCGAGGTGTTGCCAAGGCCCTTCTGTCTTTCAAAATTTAGTCAGCTTCAGGAAGACTGTACTGCCAGCGTTTTCTTACCACGGCAGCCCCCAGGGACTCTCTGACGTTTACACACCTGGGCTTCCATGGGCATCATCTCTAGTCCTTTCAGCAACCGCTTCCATAGACCTTCATTTGTTTGTTCCCAGGAGTCCTTTCTGCTGGAGATGTGAGGCGGTGACAGAGGTCCCCCAACCCTGCTGGTCCCTCCCATCCATTACTCCACTGCTCGGCTTACCACTCAGGCTCTTCTCAGCTCTTTTGACTTTGGGTTTCCGAACCCCTCCCATCTCGCAGTTGTCTGAAATGGAGCACGACAATGGGCTTTATCTTCTCTTTCTTTCTTTTGTTGTTCCAGGGCTCTAAAGAGGAGAGATGGGCGGTTTAGGCTTAAGCACAGTTTCTGGAAGGATAGCAGGTTTTCTGATATCCCTCCATACCCACTCTCCATCAGCTTCTCCCTGGACAGCTCTCCTGGGCTCCTGGCTGGGAGCCTGACTGGGACCAGTCAGAGGGAAGACCCTGTTGGAGTCTGGAGAGGAGAGGAGAGGTAACTATTCCTCCAGCTGCCTTTTTGTTGGGCATAGTTTAGAAGTGGCCATACTTCTATGATGATGGCTGTAGCTTCTATACCTTGACTCTTCCACAGTCATAGCTCTGGAGACAGGAACCTTTTCAAGCCCTTCTGAGATATCCAGAGAGATGATAGTTGTCATAATTCCTGATGATTCGTGTCCCAGGATCTCTTACTGTTCAGCTTGTAAATGGTCCCTGTCTGTGAGCATACACCTAAATGTGCTCACTGGCTTCCACCAGGAGTCTGGCTGATCTCCTGGGTATGTGTAGGATAACATAACATGCTGGGCATAGATTCTTTTGGTGACCCCGCAAGCCAAGTCTCTGAGTCTGGATGAACAAGGCTCCACTATGGTCAGGAGGGCTCAGCATGTGCAGGATTTGTGGGTACAGTATCTACTACTAACTCAGATCTGTGAGCTGAAGTGTGAGGAAGCAGAGGCTGCATGGACAGCTGTTCTTTGGATGTTTGAGACATTCAGACACGACGCAGCCTATGTGTTTAGCTACCCAATATAAACACTTTAAAAAGAGCATTGGTGTTTGCTAAGCTGGCAATTGGTACTGGAAAAATCAGCTTTCCTTGACTTGATGATTCAGCTAGCAGGTCCTTTGCCAAACTGGGTCGCTGAGCAAATTCTCCTTGCAGAATTAGTTTACTCCTGTCAAAGCCAGATTCTCCCTGCCCAAGGAAGGCTGGACTTGTCCTGCTGGCTCAGGGTGGGTTGGCCTGGGTGCCTGTGTTCAAGGGTTGCTCCCCTGGAGTGTCTTCCACAATGGGGAAATGGAGGGCCTACCCCACCTGAGTCATCTTTAACTTCACACAGGCAGGTAAAGCTGCCTGGTGACACAGACCAGAATTCATCCATGGTTAGAATCTTTAGCCAAGAGGGGATGGATCCAGTCTGAGGAGTCTGGAGGAGTACAGAGGGCTAGTCGGGACACTCAGGGTGGTTTGGGAGGAAAGGGATCCGATCACAGCTGGAGCTTAACGACAATGAGACTGGACCCGGGCCAGGTCAGGGAACTAAGTTCATCTTTGGGCAGTTTGGCCTCTACTGGTCCCTCTATGTTTCCTGGCCAGGCATTTGGGGTGTGCAGTTGGGCAAAGGGCAGTAGTGTGACATCACTGGAGTCAATGGAGTGCTCACCCAGAGACAGTGTCCTAAAGAGGGCAGGGTCTGTGGGAAGTGGTGCCTGACGGTGGCAGCAGGAGGGGGGAGGACAATGACACAGCATCATCCTGGCCTGTGTGGGCTGATGGGGAGGGGAGAGGGAGGGGCAGCATCCTGGGCTGTGTGGGCTGACTGGTGGTGGGGGGTGGACTGGGCTGGGTGGGCTGACTCTTGACAGGGGTCTGTTGGTTTTGGTGAACTTCAGAGAAGAGAATCATGCTGAGAACTAAGCTGGGGCCTATGGCTGGGTTCTGGAAGCCATTCTAAAGCTAGCAGAGGAATGACAAGAGAAGACTCTTGTGAGAGTAGGGGGTCACAGGCACGCTCAATGGAAACAGGGCCTTTGGTGAGTCCAAAAGAATCTCCATGCATTTTGAAGCCCCGTCCTCACCAGCTGCACACTCTTTCCCCAACCTAACACCCCAAGAAGAAAACTCTAGAAAGATAGGGTGGATTGGATCTGCTTGAGTTCCAGGGACTATTTTCGTGGTCTTTTCCCCACCCATGGGGTTATATACATACATATAGACAGACAGACAAATAGGCATCCTTTTGTATAACTAGCAAGAATCACACTTGTGTTCTTTTTCTTTCTTTAAAAAAAAAAAGGAAAAAGAAAAAGAAAAAGTATCTCTGTGTGTGCACATTTGTGTGTGTGAATGCAGGCATGGGTATGCCACGACACCTGGGTGGTTAGAGGACAACCGAAGGTAGCAGCCCTCACCTTCCACCTTGTTTGAGACAGTCTCTTTGTAATTTTTTCCCACTATGCACACCTGGCTAGCTGGCCCACAGCATTCTGAGATTCTCCTGTCGTTGCCTCCTATTTTTCTGTACTAGTTCTAGGATTATGGGTGTTCCTGGCTTTGTGTGGGCCCTGGGGATTTGAACTCAGGTCCTCTTGCTTACGCAGCAAGCGCTTTATCCACTGAGTCATTTTCACAGTCTTCTTTTTCTTTAAAAGGGCTATTCCAAGTGTCTGTCCACTTCTGCCCTAAGGAGATAGCAATAACATGTGTGGGGCTTGGTCATGTGACTGGAGGTCCTGTTGCCCACAGCACCCTTTAACTACCCTAACCACAGCCCAGGGCCTGCCAGCACTGGGCAGGAATGTGAGAGGGCCTCAGCTCTGATGGGCATGGGTTATGAGGGCCCTGGGTCTGGTAAACACTAATTAAGTTCTGCCACACCCAGCAGGATGGCTTTGAGGGGTGAGAGGGAGGAGGCCCCAGCCTCCTGACCCAGGTCTAGACCACATGAGTGGGCACACTGGAAGACCTTCTGCCCCTGTCCCTAGGCCAATAGAGTCCATATACCTCAGCTCTCTAGCTCTGAAGGGTCTATCGCCCAGCTGCCCTTGACCTACTGCTGCAGTGAGAAGGGCCTGCTGCCAAGAGGACCTTCCCTAGCACATCCGTGATGATCAGGAGGGAATAGGTATTTGCAAGAGCTTGCATGCTTTGTCCCACTGACTTTCAGTGACACAGCCAGGAAGGCATACCTGTCCCATTTTATAGATGAGGAAACTGAGGCTTTGCTTTGATTAAGGGAGGCAGCATGTGGTATGTGGCTTGAGGAATCTGACTATCCTGAGTAATGAGAGAGGCAGCCTGGCCCTGCTGCCTGTGACACATCAGGAAGTTGGAGAGCTGCTCCAGGGGGTTATTCTAGTTAGAGAAGGATCTCCCCAAGCAGTGATGGGTCTTCTGCCCCCTTGTCTAGGATATGGGGAATTACGTGGCTACTGCTAAACTCACAGAATGCCCCTAGAAGCTGGACCCCAAGGTAGAAAGTGGCCCAGCTGGCTGCCCCTGTCCTGGGTAACCCAGGGGCTAGGATGAGTGAAAATCAGCTGACTGAGCCAGGGTGACTATGCCTCTGACCAATGCTGTGTCCTCCAGAGGGTGAGGCAACACTTGTTCAGTAGAGACCACACATTTGTTCGCTGGGCCATGGTCTTTGGCAGCAGGAAAGGCAGTATGCCTATGCCACTTATGCCTGGCCTCAGGCTGCTTTGGCTCTAGGCTCCAAAAGCCTGACTAGGCCAGTGGGGACCCTAGGTAGGCTGGAGGACTCGCCATCAGGTAACATGCCAGTGCTCAGGCTTAGAGAGCTTAGATCCCAGCCAGGGCCGGACAGACTATTGTTCTGAAGTGCTACCATCTCACAGAGTACTCAAGTTCCCTGCCATGGGGATAAGGCATGTCCAGAGCTGACCTCTCTTGTCTGCCTTCTGTTTGGGTTTCTCAGGGCTCCTAGTAGAGGGCGTAGGAGGCTCATTGAGAGAAGGGTAGTGCACAGCACTGGGCAAGCCCCACCCAAGCTCTCAACTGACTCATTGCTCAGCCTCCTACTGGCCTAGTAAGGGCTTGGTGCCCTAGAGCCTGGCAGGCTGTCACAGGCATGTATAAAAGCATGCTAATCCAGTCCGTGGCACTATACCTGTTGCTGTCCACTGCTGTACGATGCTGGGAGGCTTGGGGAAGCTGGCGGCTGAGGGCCTGGCCCACCGCACTGAGAAAGCCACTGAGGGAGCAGGTGAGGCCCGGGGCTTTCCACTGTCTAGAAGTTGGGAACAGACTCCCTTGGGCTTGTTGAAAGCTGCTATCAGTAGGCAGGCAAGAGCCTTGGGGTAGACTGAGGCTGAGGCCCCTCAGGAAGCTTGGCTCACTGGTCCCACCAGGAGATAGTAGAATTGGGGGGGACAAAGGCTGGGGTAATTGCTCAGTGTAGAGCCACTGCCCAAGCAGCCTCCCTAGTAGGGCCTTGCTCCATGACCCAAGCTCAGCCTGCTCGGAGGTCAGGAGGAGGCCAGCCCTGAGGAGCCCCCAGGAAGAGGCAGAGTCCAGGTGCTGGTGGCTTAGGTCCTTCTGCCTGGAAGCCTAGCATACCTTTTGTCAACATTGCTTATTCTAGGGCCTGAGGGTGTAGCTCAGTGATAGAACATTTGTCTATACAAGGCCCTGGAGTTTTGCAAGAACTATAAAACAAAATGAAACAAAAATCCTGCCTGTTTTCATTAGTCTATGTAGAAAAAAGGAAGATAGGTTTTAATTTTCACCATACTTCAAAGTTTCTTTTATTTATTGTGAAACCAAGGAATCTGGTCTGTTCAAAGTCTAAAAGGGCATTTCTATTTCTTCCAAGAACCTAGGACATTGTTTTGCCAGCTGAGGTCCGTGCCTAACAAATGGCAGTTCATGTGATTCCCACTGTGGGACATAGATGAAAATCTGTGTCAAGTTTGCTGTTCTCTTTGGAAATGGCTGTAGACATGTCAGCACTTACTTCATTTTTAACTCCACAGCTGGATCTGACCCCCTTTTAATCTTCCAGCCTTTTGAGCTTGTGAGGGACATGGCAGTGGAAGGTGGTGTTAGGAACACTTCTGTCTCTAAAAATTTTGGGTTCTAGAATGCTCCCATCAAAATTCTCCAGAACCTGAAGGTGGGTAGGGACTCACTCTTCTGGGAAGAGTCACCCCAGGAGTTTAGCTTCTCTGGAGATGTACAGATGTTGCTGAAGTAGGCCAGTCAGCTCTTCCTGACAGGTGTGGCTAACTGATAAACATGCCTACCTCGCCTCAGGTTTCCAGCTGTCAGAAGGCTGTTCTAGTTATCCATGCCCTTCCAGGCTGAGGGGCATGGGGGACCCTGTGCATATCCAGCAGCCAAGCATCTTGGGGGTCTACCAAGGGAGGCAGCTAGGGGTTTTCTTAAGCTGTCTCCCCCGACTAGGGGCAGCACACCAGAGTCTCTCCTTCTTGTCTAGAGGCACCTTGGCCATTGTGAGGGGAAGTGGGCTTACATACAGCTTCACTCTCAATTTGTCCTCTCTCTGCAGTTCACGCAGTGGAGGAGGTGGTGAAGGAAGTGGTGGACCACGCCAAGGAGGTTGGAGAGAAGGGTAAGGCTGATTTGTTTGAAGATAGGAGTGGGGAGGAGGGAAAGGAAGGAGAAAAGGGGGCAAGGAAAGAAGGGCAGAGGGGTGGTGTACTTACCTAACCTGTGTAAAGTGGTTGCATCCCCAGCATACAAACGGAAGTAGAGAGAGAATAAAGTAAGCAGGCGGGAAGCTAGAGAGGGAGGAAGGGAGCCCAAGTGCCAGGGCTAATCCTTTTCTTGCTCAACCAGACCCAGCCCTGCCCCAGATGTAGCATCCTCTCTGCTGGGCTGCAATTATCTGTACATCCTCCCCATAGGCAATTATCTGTCCAAGTTGTACCTTGTGTTAGGGCTCCATCTAGGCTGTTTTCTCTGTGGAATGTTAAGAAGACAAGGCCACAAAAAGTGACGTGGCAGCACACGGGGACACAACACTTAAAATAGACATCTGTATATTTTAATATGTATTTGTATACACATTTATTGTGTATGTGTTATGCCTTGAGTAGAGCAGTGTACAAAACATATCTCACTCCAATCTCTACAATGAAGTAGGGTCCAGCTGGGTGAAGGACTTACATTTAAATACACAAATATGTTAAACTGCTTAAGCTCAAACAGCTAAAATGAAATGCCATAAATTTAATGGTTTGTAAACAGCAGAAATTTGTTTCTATAGCCAAGCATGGTGGATCATGTCTATTATCCTAGAACTAGGGAGAATGAGGCAGAAAAATTGTGAGTTTGAGGCTAGACCACCCGGGGTTACACAGTGAGTGCCAGCCCAGCCTGAACTATGCAGTGAGATCCTCATTCAAAAGAAGAGAAAAGAAGGAAAAGAAAAGAAGGAAATGTGTTGCTCTTGCTGCTGAAGTCTGGCCACCTGGTGAAGCTGGCTCCTGGCTCACATGCGGTGACGACTCTCTGCTACGCTCTCACAAGGCTGAAGGATTAGTTTGTTCTCCTGGGTGTTACCCTTCCTGCTCAGGAGGCTCCTTCCATCCTGCTAACCTACACCACAGCTCTTACCTTTTCATGGCACGATCTTGAGGAGGCTTACAACAAGGAATTTTGGGGACACAAAAATTCAGACCAAATAAGTGTCACAAGAGACTTCAGTATAATCTTGGGGAGGCTCTTTTTTTTTTTTTTTTTTTTTTTTTTTTTTTTTTTTGAGGCAGGATCTCTTTGTGTAGCTCTGGCTGTCCTCGAACTCACAGAGATCAACCTGCTTCTGCCTCCCTGAGTGCTGGGATTAAAGGTGTGTGTCCCTGCTGCTGCTGACGATACTGCCCAGCACGAGGGGAGGCTTTTTAAAAACAACAACAACAATAAAACAACACAGTAGCCATAAAGAAAATGTTAGGTACATTTGTCAATATGACACTTCACAATTGCACATAGGAGAAGAAAGAGGAGGGGACACAAAAAGCAAAGCAAAATGGAAGTTAAGTCAAAAGGAAGGCCACAGATTTCTGTGATAAGATGTTCATGACAGAAACAGTAATCCAATATAGCAATCATCACAAAATTGAACAAAGAATACAAAGAAGCAGTTTCCAGAAAAATAGTGTAAGTAGCCAGCATACCCTTGAGCTGTTTGTGTTGTCTCACTCAAATTTGAGAAAACGAAAGTTGTCGGGGAAAAATCAAAGCAAATTGGATTCATGGTGACAGTGGCACACTGCCCTTTTGTCCCTCTAGAGCTGCTCCAGGCCTGATCCCTAAGATGGCCTCACCCCTCAGGCCTCTCCTGCTAGAAGCAGGAGGTCACTCACTCCTACAATTTCCTTCTTTTTCCAATAGCCCTTACCGATGCCCTAAAGAAAGCCCAAGAATCAGGGGACAGAGTGGTGAAGGAGGTGACCGAGAAGGTGACCCACACCGTCACTGATGCTGTTACCCATGCTGCAGAAGGCCTGGGTAGACTGGGACAGTGAGCCTGCCTACCACCATCCTGGCCTTTCCTGAATGTCAATAAAAAGCCTGCAATGTGAACAGAGTCCTGCATTACTCCTGTTTGGATGGAAACCCTAGGCAAAGTGCCTTTTTGATGTTCTTTGTTGTTTATTTTGGACACAGGCCTTATTTGTACCAGGTTGGCCTGAATTCACTTTTGCTGTGTAGCTGAGGCTGACCTTGAACTCCTGATCTTTTTGCCTTCACCTCCTGAGTGTGGGATCACAGGTAAAGGCCACAAAGCCTGAGGGGGGCTAAATCTTTGTTTTCGTGGAAACACTGTATACTGTCAGCTTCTCCTCTGCCTTAGAGGAGCATCCAACATGATGGGTACCTGCCACCTAATGAATCAGATGAGGAATTATCATTCCAGCAAGCAGTCCTCGTGTGTGTGTGTGTGTGTGTGTGTGTGTGTGTGTGTGTGTGTGTGTGTGTGTGTGTGTGTGTTTTCAGACAGGGTCTCTCAATGGCCTGCAACTAGTCCAGTAGACTAGGCTGGCCAGAAAGCCCCAGGGATTTGTCTGTCTCCACCTCGGCAGCACTGGGAATGTGTGCCACAATAGCTGTTTTAATTTTTTATTTTAAATGTGTGTTCTGACGATGGAGTATGATTGCACAGCAAGGCCTTATCTAGGGAGTCCTCACACCTTGAACTCTTAGCCCTCTCCCACCCTTCTCTTTCTTTTCTTCCCTTTTTTGTCAAGTGAACCCACAGCTTAGCTAGCACTTCGCCTGTTCTCTACCACTGAGCTCCACCCCCAGCCTCTGCTGCGCGTGTGTACAGGTGTGCAGGCACTCAAAAGGGACAGCACACATTCTCTGTAGCATTCTTTGGTTCTCCTTGTAATGGGAGATCAGGATCTACCAGGACTCAGAGCACAGCTTGGCTGCTCATCCTGAGACCCAGATAAGCATTTACTCTGAGGGTACAGAAGCTAGTTATAGAGGAAGAAACCCACTGTTTGTTTCTGGAGGCTCCTGGTGGACTCCACTTGGGAGACATGTGGCCAAGACATAGGTAGTGGGTGGCAGTGGCCCTGCTTCCTTCCTCTTATGAGCAATCAGCACCTCACAGTTCAATATGTGTGAGGGACTGGATGTGCTGGCACATCCCTGTAATCTCAGCACTCGGCATCAGAGACAGGAGGGTCAGGAGTTCAAGATCAAGCCTCAGCTATACAGTGAGTTTGAGGCCAGCCTAGGCTACCTAAGAACCGGTCTATAAAGATTGTGCAAGTAGATAGCATTTAGAAGTTTTGGAACAGAAGTCAGGTGTAAATATATTATGGCTAAGTAAGTTAATAAGTAAGTAAGTAAGTTTACATGCTTTAAATTCCAGCATTTAGGAGGTAGACAAAGGGGGCTGAATTCAAAGCCAGCCTGAGCTACATAAACCCCAGAAAAAAACAAAACAAAACAAAACAAACAAAAAAAACCCCAAACCAAAAGATATACAAAATGGGCTGGGGACAAAGTGGACCAAGTGCTTGCTGGACAAGTTTGAGGACCTGATTTTGAGCCCCCAGCATCCATGTTAAACTCCTAGGTATATATGGGAGCAGAGATGGGTGGATCTTGGGATCTTGCTTGCCAGCCAATCAAGCTGAATAAAACAATGAGCTCCAGGTTCAATGAGAGACCCTGCCTCAAAAATCAGTGTGAAGAATGGTGGAAGAAGGTACCCAACATCAACCTCTGCCCATGTGTGTATGGGTTAGTGTACCTGCACATCCATGTGCAACATGCATTTACCACACACACACCCATACACATGCATGCACATTTTTTGAGAGCATAGATAAGAGAAATTCTGTGTAAAACTATGATTTTTTTTCAAGATAGGGTTTCTCTGTTTAGCCCTGCCTGTACTGAAACTCGTGCTATATATAGACCAGGCTGGCCTTGAAATCATAGAAATCCGTCTACCCCTGCCATCGGACTGCTGGGATTAAAGGCTTGGGTCACCATGCCTGGCTCTAAATTTTTATTAATCTTGCTGGAAGCTATTTGCTCTTAGCAGAAATAAAGAGAAAAGGTGTTTCGGTCAAAGAATAAATCAGTTTCTTGCCGTGCTTTGGCTCTTCTGGAAATGTCTCACAGATTTCTAAAAGGTACAAGCTATCCAAAGGTCAGCAATGGACAATGGAATGGACATTGTCTTGCTCGTGCTGGGCTTCTTCTCTTGGTTTGGCTCCTGAAGACTTCTGAATGTCTCCAGTCCAAACCCAAGCTTATAGACCCAAGGACAGTATGAGTGGCAGACATGGATTGGAATGGTCTCCTTGGGTGTGTAAAGGTGCCAAGTGGGAAATGCACACTTACTATAACATGTGAATGGCACCAAGAACATGATAGCAAGATGGAAACATCCGGAAATCACCAGACATCACTCAGGTGGCAAATTGTGCTGTTTATGAGGCTTGCCACACAATATGGAGATGGTACCTATAAGTTCCACTGGACTGTAAGTTGCTAAGTCTGGAAATGGGATCTGTGCCTGGAAGTTTACTAACCATCTTAGGCTAACAAATACTGCCTATAGAGGAAGTGGATTGCACATGGCTACTGAGGAGGAGGGGCTGGGGATGTAGCCCAGGGACAGAGCGCTTGCCTAAGACATGCAAGATCCATGCCCAGGCCTGGAAAAACAAAACAAAACAAAACAAAAACAAAACCCAAAAAATCAAGGGGAATGTAAATATACTATGGCCAAGCAAGTTAATAAGTTGCAAAATATATATGCAGAACAAGTTCATTTTTCATAAGGCAAATGATATAATTATATAAAGAACAGTATAAAAACTAGACAGCTCATACCTGGCAAAAATATTAGCAGTGGTCCTCTCTGTCTGTGGGAATATGAGAAATTCTTACTTTGGCACTGCATTTCTCGGATGTTTAAGAGGAAACCAATACAGTTGTCTTAAAAATTCTGTTGTGGAGGGCAACACTAGCTTATTCAGGATTGCTCCCTAGTGAAGTGCCACTGAGAGTTTGTTACTACTCGGGAAGAGTGAAGAGGCAGCATTGGGAAGCAGAGAACCATGGCTTTGTGGATGTCCAGGGTGGACTCAGTGAATGTTTTTTGCTTAATAGGTTATGGAGACCAGCTTGTACTGCTGAACGTGCATAGCAGCTATGTGAACTAGTCCACATGCCACGAGTTAAGATAAACAATGAAACTGTTCTTTCTTAGGCTGGTGAGATGGCTCAGTGGATAAAATGCTTGCTGAGTAAGCTTGATGGCTTGAATTCAATCCCTGGGACCCACATAAAAGCACAGTGATAAAACCAGCTCCGCAAAGTTGTCTTCTGACCTCTGCATGCACACATGCCATGGCATGGGCATGCCTCTACCCCACAATAACAATAAAATATTTAAAAAGGTCCTATTTCCAAAAAGAGTCAAAGTACTGGTCTCGAACTCACAGAGATCCACCTTCCCTACCTCCTGAGTGTTTTTTTTTTTTTTTCTGCCTACATCTTACTCCACCTCCCACACTGCTGTTTCCTAGAACAAGTATGTCTTCCATATTTCATTTTCTTCTAAGTGTACTTGGCAATGAAGGGCATGACATCAGTGTCATCAAAATAATAGTGTCAGAGCCAGAAGTTGGTGGTGCATGCCTTTATTTCCAGCACTTTGGTAGGTAGAGGCAGGTGGATCTCTGTGAGTTCGAGGCCAGCCTGGTCTGCAGAGGGAGCTTTGGAGACAGGCTCCAAAGCAATACAGAGAAACCCTGTCTTGGAAAAACAAACAAACAAAATAAACAAAGTTTCAGGAAAAAAAATGATGTGGTGTAGTGTTTTCAGCTTGTCTTATTCTTGGATCATTCTCTACCCTCCCTGGTTTCACCAGTCTAGAAAACTAATGGCCTGTTAGTGAAAATCTACAGTCCTGAAATTCTAGCATAGAGATTTAAATTAGGATTGCCAAAAGTTCAAGGCCAGCCTGGGATGTAAGAGTTAACACCCTGTCACAAAAAGGCTCAACAGCCTGGAAGCCCCTGGAAAGACAAAATACAGTTGGAATTCTTTCTTTCAAGACCTCATTTAGCTGGGTATGGTGACACACAGCTTAAATTTCAACACTCAGGATGGAGAGGCAAGAGGATCATGAGTTTGTGGCCAGCCTGAGCTATGTAGGGAAACCCTATCTCAAAAAAACAAAAACAAACAAAAATCAAAAAAAAAGACCCCCAAACCCCCAAAACCAAGGGCTGGTGGTGTAGCTTAATGGTAGAACTCTTGCTAGCATGTGCTAGCCCTGAGTTCCATTTAGATCACAAACAGCAAACAAGCAGATCCTTAAACTGTAGAGACTTGTCATCATTTGAGCTGGCCGCTAGTCCCTGGAACACCCACTGCCAAGCTGTCTTTATTTCTCCTGACTGCTCAGTTACATTAAGTCTTTTCACTAGGGGCAGTTGCCAAAAACACTCAGACATCATCATTTAAGTTGGTGGCTGCTAGCAGTTTGAGCAAACAGCAGGATAAGAAGCTTTTATGGCAAAACTGGTAAGGGTGAGGTCTGCAGGGACTGACACTCCAACTTATTTCTGGGATGTGGAGATACCTTGTGCACATGCTAAGGACAAAGGTCTCACCTCAGACCTACCTTGTAGAGGCACTGCCTAACCGATGGTTGAATAGGATCCCCAACCTGCACACAGAACTCCTTGGCAAAGATGAAATCTTGCTAGTTCTAGATGGGAAGGAATCTGCCGAATCACTGACCACTAAAGCCAAGTGAGTGGAGACTTCAGTGGCCACATATAACAGACTTTGGAATTAGTTCAGAAAGGCCACTCAACAAGGGTATGGAGGGGGAGTGCAGTCTCCCTGAGTTGGCCTCTGGTCTCTAGACCTCCCCCCCCCCCCCCCCCCCCCCCCCCCCCCCCCCCCCCCGATATATCAGCATCCCTGAAGATGTGTGTGTGGGGTGCAGTTCAGATCATCTTATTCTAATTCCTAACTTCTCCACCATAAGCAAGAGTAGGGTCAACATGCCCTAAGAAGGAAGGGCTGGGAGCCTCAGCAGCCATCTGCCTGGTATGGATTGAGAGGGAGTCACTCTATGCTCATTCTTCACAATTCACAGCACCCACAATGACTAGCAAAGGTGTGCTTAATTATACCCTGAGGATACCCAAGTGCACTGTTACCACCACTGGCATGGCTTGGAAACACCCAGGGGTTTCTTGTACCCTTGCAATTGGCTACAGAGGCAGAAATAAAGCTGTGTATGGAAATCAAAAACACCTCTGGCACTTCTACAGAACAGAAACTGGTTAGCATAGCCTTTTCTCTCTTTTTCCTACATTTATACTTACAGATAGAACCCATTTGATCATTTATAAGCACCTGAAAGTAGATGTTATATAAATATACACACTTACATAAACACTACCAGTGGGTAGTCAAACTATGGCACAGCTGAAGATGACTCTGAACTCCTAACCCTTCTGTCTCAAAGCCTCCCTAGTGCTGGGACTGTGTGTGCTAGCAGTCTGTTTATGTGGTGCAGAGGACCGAATCTATACTCCCTAGCATCTGAACTACACTGCTAGCCCTCATTTAATATATTCTTTCCAGTATCTTTTTCTCTTTCAGAAAAGGCTATGGTGGCTTCAACAGGCTGTGTAGCTAAAGATGACCTTGACCTCCTGTCCCCACCACCCATGTACTGGAATTAGACCTTCATTTTTGAGTGTATAAAATGGGCATCATTATAGCTTTTCACCTACCATTTGCTCATATTTGAGTGCTGTGCCCTTCCTTGTTCTGCTTCTCCTGTTTCCCATCTTTGGCCTCACATATGTATTAACTTAATCAACTAAAGGTATGTGCCCACACCCAGCTTAGAAAACTGACACTATTTACCTTTCCCTTTGTCCTATATTGCTCCCACTTCTTTCATGTCATGCACGCACGGACGCATGGACGCACGGACGCATGCACGCACACATGCAGGCATGCACTTAAGATATGGCTTAGCACTTAAAAAAGTGCTCAAAATCATTGGCCATCAGAGAAATGCAACTCAAAACAACTCTGAGATACCATCTCACGCCTGTCAGAATGGCTAAAATAAAAAACACCAATGACAATCTATGCTGGAGAGGATGTGGAGAAAAAGGAACACTCCTCCATTGCTGGTGGGAGTGTGATCTTGTAAGACCACTCTGGAAATCAGTATGGCGGTTGCTCAGAAAAATGGGAATCAGTCTACCTCAAGATCCAGCCATTCCTCTCTTGGGTATATACCCAAATAGGGCATGTACTTACAACAAGGACATATGTTCAACCATGTTCATAGCAGCATTGTTTGTAATAGCCAGAACCTGGAAACAACCTAGATGCCCCTCTATTGAAGAATGGATTGAGAAAATGTGGTACATTTATACAATGGAGTACTACTCAGCAGAAAAAAGCAATGGAATCTTGAAATTCGCAGGCAAATGGATGGAACTAGAGGAAACCATCCTGAGTGAGGTAACCCAGTCACAAAAAGACAAGCAAGGTATGTACTCACTGATATATGAATTTTAGACATAGAACAAAAGACTACCAGTATATAATGCTCTTCACCAAAGAAACTAGGAAACATGAAGGACTCTAAGGGTTAAATGGTCCCCAGGAATGGAAATGGCATGAACTCCCGAACTAATTGGGGGCAGGAGGGTGGGGGGGAAAGGAGCTGCTACAATAAGAGCAAGAGAAGAGGAGAAGAGGAGAGGAAATGGAGGGGCAGAAACATTGAGTTGGGGGAAGAATAGAGGAAAGAGAGCAAGATGAGAGAAACGATATCAGAGGGAGCCACTGTAGGCCCGAGAAGGGATCAGGAACCAGGGAGATCTCCAGAGACCTACAAGGATGACACGATCTGACAATCCAGGCAATGGTGGAGAGGATAACCTAAAAACCCTCCCCCTAAAATGAGATTGATGACTTCTCTTTATGCCATCCTAGAGCCCTCACCCAGTGGCTGATGGAAACAGAGACAGACATCCACAGATATACAATGAGCCGAAATCGGGAATTTAGTTGAAGAGAGGGAGGAATGAAGAACGAAGGGGTCTGTACTAGGATGGAGAAACCCACAGGAACTGTTGGCCTGAACAAGGGAGAGCACATCGACCCCAGATGCTGTCCAGGAGGCCTGTACAAGACTGATCCAGACCCCAGAACATAGATGTCAATAAGGAGGCCTCTGCACTCCAGGGAGCCTCTGGTAGTGGATTAGTATTTTTCCCTGGTGCAAGAAGGGACTTTGAGAGCCCATCCCATATGAAGGGTTACACTCTGGCCCTGGACACATGGGGAAGGGCCCAGGATCAGCATAGGAAGACTTGGTGGACTTTGCTGAGCTCCCGTTGAGGGCCCTACCCTGCCTGGGGAGTAGTGGGTGGATGGGGTTGGGGGGATGGGCTGGGGGTGGGGGAGAAAGTTTGGGGGTGAGGGGAGGGAGAGGGAGAAGGGACTTGAAATAAGCTTGTTCCCTAACTAGAACTAATAAAATAAAATAAAAATTAAAAAAAAAAAAAGATATGGCTTAGATGTTAAAAGCACTTGTTGCTTTTGTAGAGGACCTGGGGTTTGGTTCATAACACCCACATGGCAGCTAATAACTAATTGAAACTTCAGTTTCTAGGGATACAAAACACTAATACATAAAATAAAAAGTATAAATCCTAGCCTGGAGAGATGGTCCAGAGGCTAAGAACCCTGGTTCTGTTTTCAGAACCCACATGGTGGGCTACAACCTTCTGTGACTTGAGCTTCAGGGAATCTGCTGTGTTCTTCTGGCTTCCACAGGCACTGAAGACAGACACTCATGCAGGCAAAACACCCATACACATAAAAATTAAAGAAAATAAATTAAAAAAATCTTAAAAACCAAAACTCCTAGAATCTGAATATGATAACATGTCTGAATGGCTTACTTCACTTACTGTGATAATCCACTGTTTCATCCACCTTCCTGCAAAAGCCACAAATTCATTCTTCATGGCTTAAAAAAATATTTAATTGGGTATATGCCATAGTGTTTCATCCATTCATTCACTGATGTGCATCTAAACTGGTTCCATCATGGCTATAGATGTACAGATATCTCTGTAGTGTGTTAATGTAGACCAGGCTGGCCTCGTCTCACAGAGATCTGCTTGCCTTGTACCACCACTACCCAGCCCCATATTATCATAAGTAGCTGCTAAATTCGGTAGCTAAACTGTTTCAAATAAAACTTTATTTAAAAGACAATAGAAAAAGACAGGTATGATGGCAGCACTCTGGAGCAATAGGCAGGAAGATCGGGATGAGTTCAAAGTTAGCCCCAACTAATAGGTTTGAGGTCAACCTGGACTACATAAGACCCTGTTTCAAACAAATGAATAAAGTGTAACAGAAATTACACCAGCATATTAGTTTTACACACTGCAGCCTCTTCCCAAAGAACAGCTATTACAGCTTAATAAAATGAAATAAAAAATAATCCAGGAATAAAATTTGAGCAGCTAGTTGGGTGGTGGTGGTGGTGCACACCTTTAATCCTAGCACTTGAGAGGCAAAGGTAGGTGGATCTCTATGAGTTCAGGGCTAGCCTGGTCTACAAAGAGAGTTCCAGAATAGTCAGTGCTATACAGAGAAACTCTATCTTAAAAAACCAGAAACCAAACCAAAACAAAAAAGTTGAGCAGCTCATAACAAAAGAAGTGACATAGGAAGTTATGAAAATTTTTGAACCTCAATTACTGTTTTATCATTTACTAAGAGACTATAAAATATGAAAACACAGAAAAGAAACAATCTTTGGAAAAGGTAGACTTTTAATAACTGCTTTTATCACCAAGTTAATCATGCAGTTACAAAGTAGTTAGAAATTTCTGAAAGGATATTGTTAAAAAAAAAAAGCACTCATTCTCATATAAATAATATCTGGTACTTCTGTGGAACACTCCTGTTCAAAAGCCCTGGCCAATGACTCCCCAAACAAAAGTCAACTCCAGGCAGTCACCAGCCTGCTGTTAGTGAAGCGGTATGCAGAATGCAAAGCCTCAGAAGAAGGGGCATACAGTCAATTGAGGGCCACTGGCTGTGCTTGGAGCCAGCCAGACTCCAAACAGGGAGCCCAAAGGTTTTTTTCTGGGACACTATTTGAATTATGGTTCAATTACTCAACACAATAGATCTTCAGATGGGAGGAACAAGTCATTTTCATGGTAAATAGGTTATTGCTCTCCCTGGACTGTGCTACAAATTCCCCAGAGTCCCTGTCACTTGCAGGTATGAGGAGAGTGCTTCCATAGTGCCACTTTGTTTTTCCTGGACAGCAATGCAGTGCCAATAAGCTATATAAATGATTCTGTTTTATGCTGTAAAAAACTAGCTTCTTCCATTGATTATGTTTTTAGGCATTCACTGCTTGAGTCAAGGTTAGGCTTAAGTGATTAAAGGCAATTTTATTACAGCAGCATGTACTAATTTTATTCTGAAAGAATAAAATACATAAGAGAAATAGCTTTTATTTTTGTTTGCAACTTAGAAAACTGAGTTATTTTGTAGATGTAAAATAGCAATAACTCATTTAAGGACCATGCCACCTTTGGAAAATGCCACACACCTATTCTTTTATGTGTCCAAGTTCCCAGACTTGTCCAGAAGTGGCTGAGTGCTCTTGACTGCCTTCCCTGGCAACAGCACTGACCCTGTTGGGAAGGGCCTAGAACAAGGCAGCACAGCCAGGAGGCAGGCAGGGACTTTATGTAGAAAAAGTACCTAACCGGCTTTCTGATACACGTGATTCCTACTTTTACACATCAGCTTGTACATGATCCTCTAACCTAATCTCTCTTAAGGGGCTGATTCAGACTGACTTGCTGAGAACAGTGTCCATTAGCTAATGAGTCACAAGAACAGATTTCTGTGGTTACATGTAAACTTGTGACAGGTCTGCAGAAGTTATAGGTGAAGTGGGTGGTAAAGAAGTTAGTGGTGACCTGTCTATGTGAAGGTCACGCCAGCTTCGTTGTACACCTTGAAGACTTTCTCAATGGCATTGACATAGGCAGCTGTTCTTAGGTCCAATCCCAGGTTATACTTCATGGCTGTGCGCATAATTTGCTGGAATGAAGGAGAGAAGGCAGTGAGACCACCTGACTGCATAGCAGCCTAGGAACACAAATTGTCACCCACCCCATGACCAAGTAAATATAATAAGCCTTAGACAGCTGAAGGCAAATGACTGCAGCAGCAGAAATGTTTCTAGCAGGAGCGACAAATTCTCGGCTGTTATTGTCCAGGGAACAGCAAGAAATTGTTCCGAAGAACTACAGATGTGAATGGTTTCTCTGCCTGTTAACTATCCTGGAGCTGAGATCATATACTTAGTGACTGTTTAAATTAACCAAGAACAGGGCATTGGGAACATTCTAGAATTTCAATGATGATAGCTAGACAACCTTGTAAATATACTGCAGGCCAATGATTTATTTTGTGTATGTATATGCTATGTGTGTGTGATGTTCATGTGCTAATCTGCATGTGGGTGTCATGTAAATCCATGTGAGACCCAAGGATTGAACTTAGATTATTAGACTTGTGGCAAGAGCCTTTATCCATGGAGCCATCTTGCAAGCCCATTATAGTGTTTTAATTATATCTCAATTAAAAAAAAAAGCAAGCCGGGCATTAGTGGCACACGCCTTTAATCCCAGCACTTGGGAGGCAGAGGCAGAGGCAGGTGGATCTCTGTGAGTTCGAGACCAGCCTGGTCTCCAGAGTGAGTGCCAGGATAGGCTCCAAAGCTACACAGAGAAACCCTGTCTCGAAAAACAAAAACAACAAACAAACAAACAAACAAAAAAGCAGCAAAAATCAAGCACCAACTTTCCAAGTATTGAATTAGTGGCACATGCCCCTAATCCCAGCACTAGGTAGGAAGAGGGATGGCTCAACCACAGCCTCACTTATACAGTGAGTTCAAGGCCAGTCTAGGACACACGAGACCCTGTTTTAAACATGTGCTGCCTTCTTCAGCAGAATGTCTATTCTGCTTCAGCCTGGAAATCCAAATGGACAGACTTTGGTCAAGAAGAAACAAGCCTTTCATCCCAGTACTTAGGAGGGAGGCAGAAACAGGCAGACCTATTTGTGCTCAAGGCCAGCCTGGTCTACATCAGAGAGTTCCAGGATAAGCCAGTGCTACATGGGTGACCCTGTCTCAAAAGACAAGCAAAAACCGAAGTCAGAAAAATTGTATTCAAACTGTGTTTGTTACATTTAAGGCCCTGGTGTAAAAAGGGCTCAAGTGGTTAAAAAAAAAAAAGTCAAAAATTTCTTACTTAAACCAAATTTTATAGTAAGTCAGCTTTTGGGCTATTACATAGTGATCTAGTTTGGCCAACTACCTTTTTGGTAACAGTCAACTGCCTAACTCAGCATGATTTCTTCCTAAAGATGTACTGACAATAGCGATTATCAACTGAGGATAAAACGGTACATGTTCTGCTGTGCATAGTGGGGACCAAGTAACTGTATCACAAAACAATCTGGTTATCTGTATATCACGCTATTAACACAAAAGCAGCTATCATCTGCATACATACCCTGGCAGATCTCTCCATGGTGTAGGCCAAGCCAGAGTGCACAATGTCTTTCTCAGAGGCACCCTGTGAGGAAAAAGAACATTAACTTAACACATCACAAAATGCTTCATGTCTCTAGAATACCAAGGATTAAGTTGATATTGCAGCACTACAGGAAAGACATATAATTTCTGTACTCTACTAGTGTTTACTAGAAAAGCTAGACAAATCACGTTTTCCAACACAGTTTAGTTTTAATGGTATCGGGCAGCAACAAAAATGCATGAAATAAGATCATGATTAAAACAAACACAGAAAAGAAGCCCAAGAACAGGCAAGTAGTCAGATTAGCATCCTCCACTCAAGGTATTCTGCATAGCTGCTGTCCCGGCATACTCTCCACCCTCCAAGTGAGCAGGACTACCAGACACAGAGGGACATAGCCAAGGCAGACAGCAGCTCAGGGAAGATCCGCTGTGTACTTAGTAGCCCAGTGCTGAAGAATCTAAGAGCTTTCTGTTTCTATATACTCTTCTATCTAATTTGTTTCTTGGAAGGATTTCTTTAAAAAATTAAGTGTAGCGCCAGGCGTGGTGGCATATGCCTTTAATCCCAGCACTTGGGAGGCAGAGGTAGGTGGATTTATGTGAGTTTGAGGACAGCCTGTTCTCAGAGCAAGTTCTAGGACAGCCAAGGAAGGCTATACAGATAAACCTTGTCTCAAAAAACAAACAAAAAGGTTTAAGTCATTACAACTCCCAATGTGACACAAGACAGCTCTATAATATATATCCTAAAGTGCTAGATTAAAAACTTGAAGTGGGTTACCAAAAAAAGTGATCTGGCCAGACATGCGGTACATGTCTGTGACTCCAAAACTTGGGAGGTGGAGGGAGGAGGCTCAGGAGTTCAAGCTCATCCTTGGCAATTCACATTTGTATTATATTTTGTTTTGGGAGATGAAACAAACTTGCTTAATAGGCAGAATAGTGCAGTTTCTTTTACTCATCCATCAAACATTTACTGAGTAAAAAGTTCTATGTCCTAGGCATGTTCAGGCATTAGGGACACAGCAATGAACAAAATAATCAAAATCGAGTGTTTTCACGGAGTCTCTCTCTCTCTGTGTACGTATGTATGTATGACACATATATATGCTGGCTTTAAGTTCATAGAAGCCTTCCTAGTTCTGCCTCTTGAGTTCCAGGGCTACAGATACAAGACAAATGAGGCACAGCACACTTGCAAATCATTATCTGGCAACAAATGCCTCTGAAGAAGATAACAACCATAAGGCGCTGCAAACAGTCAACAGCATCAGTGTCCTCTTCTCAGTTCTCCCTTCCCATCCTCCCCTTTCCTCTTTTTGCTGTCTGTGGTACTACAGCACTTTATAACTCAAAGGAGTTGCAGCTATCTGCAGTACTGGTGGAATGGTGGAATAAAGGTATGACAGTTCAGTGATAGAGCACTTAACTGATATACATAAGGTCCTGGGTTCAATTCCCAGTACCACAAAAATAGAACAACATAAAACAGTTACGTTAAATATTTTTCCCATGCATGTATGCTATGCCTTTGTAGCCCATATTTTCTGTAATATCCTGGTAAGCTCTTTGTAATGTGTAAACACTATTGATACTCCCTTCCAAGAACTGATTGATTTATCTTTTCTAATCTGTTAACTCTGTTATATGTGTCCATATAATTATTTCATATTTTCATATAATTCAGTCTCATGTTTATTTTTCAATTCTAGTTTTCTGAAGCTTTGAGTTAAAGTATGGTAAGCCTTCATGATTGTGTTGAATCATCAAGTACCCAAAACAGAATTACTTATTTGCCATTATATTAAGAATGGAATGACGAAATAAACCATATAATAAAATTATGGTTAACAACCTTTGATAATACTCCATTTAATCTATCTACCCTGAAAGCCACGACAGGGAGCATGTGTAAAATTCCAGTCTGGTGTCACCACACTCACCGATATCCTGTCTTGGAACTCTGCTGTAGGGACCACAGGAATAGTTCCACCATGCTTTCCAAATTTTCTCTCTAAACTCTCTTGAACAGACACTGTAAAAAGCCAAGACATCAAGACAAGACACTATTAATAGAGGGAGAAAATAACTGTAGAACTTAAAGTAACTCTAACCTATATATGTGTAGCCCCAAAACTAATGTTTTAGAAATCTTTATTCCTAATGACATAGAAGGGTTAATTATTAAACACTCAGTAAGGAGAAGTCTGCCAAATTCCTATAGAAATGTGAATTTAGGTCACGGCTCTGTTTCCATAACACCCACCACAAGGGTTTTCTACTCTTGGCTCTGTTAAAAAGAAATTTTGAGGAAGAGAAAAGGACAGAGAGGAACATTCTCAGAGCGGCAGAGCACAGGAACACAGTTGGAGGTCTTGCTTTTATTTCAGCTGGATGAGAAATTCTTAAGAGCTGAGTTTACTCTGGTCAAATAAAAACTCTTACCAGAGGACTCAAAATGGGGTTTCCACACTAGGTACCACTTCTTTTAATTAGTGTATAAAAGAATGGGCTTTATTATAACATTTTCATAAATGTTAGCTAAGATTTTTCTGAGAGCAACTAGAGATAGGGACAAATTAGATCAGTGGGAGAGTTCAGGTTTAAAAAAGACTTTTTACACCGGGCATTGGTGGTGCACACCTTTAATCCCAGCACTCGGGAGGCAGAGGCAGGTGGATCTCTGTGAGTTCGAGACCAGACTGGTCTACAAAAGCTAGTTCTAGGACAGCCTCCAAAGCCACAGAGAAACCCTGTCTCGAAAAACCAAAAAAA